TTGTTGTGCCTACAGGTTCATCGGAACGCGCAAGTCCCCTCACCACGACAAGGTGACAGTCCATCGAGGGGGAGAAAGAAAAAAGAAAATGATGTACCAATGGTATATCACTCCACAGAAGTTGGCGAAATGTTATCCAAGAATACAGGACAAATGTTGGAAATATGAAGATCATCAGGGAATCTTTTTCCACATGTGGTGGGTGTGTAAAATAGCTAAAAAAATGGGAAAAAATCCAAGGAGAAATACAAAACATGCTAGACATAAAAACAGAATACTATTTATTGGGAATTATAGACATAGAGTTGGAGAAAAACAAAGACAGACTATTGAATTATTTGATGTCGGCAGCCAGAATAAATTATTCCTGCTATTGGAGAACAAAAGAGATCCCTTCAAAAGAACAATGGATGTATAAAATAATAGATATAATGTTTATGGACAAATTGACCCAATTACTGAATAAACATATGGAAGGAAATAAAAAAAACAACGGACTGGACTTTATTTAGAGACAATATGATAAAAGAAAATATAAAATTGATAATAGAAATAAATTGAAGAAAATAAGAGAATTTGTCCCTGAAAAAGAAAAGAAGAAAGGAGACAGCAATAATTAAGAAGAGAAAAGAAAATACAAACCATGGTCAAGAAGATTGAAAGTTTTTTTCTACATTTTATCTATTATTTATCTCACTTTCCACCCCTAGATCCCTAGCAATTTGGGTGATCTTTTCTTTCTTTTTTTAATTATTATTTTTATCATTTTGACTCTTCTATGTTAGACTCCCATTCTATCCCTAAGTTCTATCTAGCTTCTTCCTTTTTCCCTTTTTTTCTTTTAAGATAATGTGATCAAGAAAATAAATAAAAATTATTTGTAAAAAAAATCAACTCTGTAAAAATGGCTTTTAGTGAATGCTGTTCTGATTGTAGGCAAATAAAAATAAAACCCTTTGCACTGTAGGCGTGACAGACTCATTCTTGCTTTACTGTTCTTTCTCTCTCTCTAAATGCCTCTCCCAACTTCAGTGTGTAATTTTGAGGCCATTAAGAGGAAGAGATGTGAATGCTCTCCAGACCCCAATCATCACGGCTTAAATAAATGGCATTATTAACAGTTCACAGAATTGAAGTCATGTGCACTCTGCACTTTGTTTTCTAAGAAGAGCCGTGTGTTCATCTCTCCTCCTGTTGTCACATGAGTGAAACATGAAACAGGCAATTATTCTGAGGGTCCTTCCACACAGCACCAAAACCCATGCAAAGCAGGTTCAAGCAACTTGCTTCAGCACGGGTTTCTATCCCCACTCCTATAACCAAACCTCAGGCTTTTCCCCAGGGGCTGTTTGAAATTGGGATGGCATGAAGGCACCCTGAAGCCCCCCCCCAATTCCCCCCTAAACGTTAATTAAAAGGTACCTCACCTGAGTAGATGGAAGGGGCAAGGAGGAAATTCGGTTTGTTCTGAGTTGTTTTTACTGGACAAGACAGGTCCCGGTTTTTGGGCCTGCCTGCATGGGTCCTGAGATATTTCAGAGAACAAGCATTACAAAGGGGAGAAACATAATATAGGATGCATCTACACTTTAACTTTCCATGGCTTAATGCTAGGGAATCACAGGAGGTATAGTTTCACAAGGTCTTTTGATTTCTCCACCAAAGAATGCTGGTGCCTCATCAAATTATGTATCCCACAATTCTATAGTGTTGAACCATGGAAGTTAAAGTGGTGTCAAACACAGTCTCCTCAAAGCAAAGCCAAGCCTAGAAGTGCATCTTTTTGAGGGGATTAGCTGGAGGACCTTGTAGGGCAAAGGAGGTACTTCTTTAAAATCCACCTCAGTATGAGTCTCCCTCCCAGGGGAGAAGGGTGGGGTATAAATATACAAAATAAATAAATACATAAGTAAGAATCCTTTTTTAGTTTTGCTAGGTGTGTGGTGGGGGCAAGGTTCAAAGTTCTACCACATGGATATTGCAATAAACAGTCAATTCTTGAAAGATTGGTTGTGGCATCTTTTTGTACCTCATAACCATTACAGTATGTGTGTGTGCATGCGCATGCGTGCATGCGTGCATGCGCGTGCATGGATACAGCATACAGATCTTCAAGTTACCTGCCATGGTGACCCCATTAATTTCATATAGTTTTCTTAGGCAAGGAATATTCAGAGGTAGTTTTTTCATTTCCTTTCTGATACTCCTCTAACATTTTACAGATGAAAACAGAGACATGTTTAACCAAGCAAGAATGTGTAGGCACACAAACTAGGAAAGGCTGCAGCAGTATGGTTTTGCTTCAGCCTTTGGGGACATGCATGAGTCCATCTCCCTCTCTATGAGTTAATAGAGTACAAACAACATTTCCACATGGAATTTTGTGTGCAGCACTTGAAGGACCCTCCCAAACAGGCCGATATTCCATGACCTATGTCGGGTTTACTCGAATTATCAAGTAAACCAAAATTAATCTGAAGTAACCTGGGATTTCTCAGTGTATTCCAGATTAATTAAATGTCTGAAGAAATCTGGACCTCAAGATAAGGTCCAAGCCTTTTCAGGTGTGGGCCATGGTGATTGACTCATGGGATTACTTCCATTATTCTGGGAGTCAATCCCCACTGCCCCCACACCTCCCATCCCAAAACCTCATTTAGCCCCTAAACTTACTCAAGGGAACTGGCTGCATGCTCAGGCCCTTCCGCCAAGAGCTCCTGGCACATTAAAATGATGCATTGGGAGGTTGGGAGAAAGGAGAAGGGATCCCAGAAGCTTTCAACCAAAGGGCCTGAGCATGCAGCCAGGCCCCTCAAGTAAGTTTAGGGGTGAATGGGGGGGGGGGGGCTGGGGGCTGGCTCCATGCGCTCCTGGGTCAAGATCAGGAGGGCATGGAGCCACTCCATCAGGGAAATCCTGGGTTTTGGAGTGGGTGTAGGGACTAAATCCTGGGAGGAACTGGGATATAATATCCCATTTCCTCATGGCATGTAGTAATGTCTGGAAAGACCCAAAGTAAGTTGAGAAACAAGGAAGACAAGAAAGTGTTTCTCCTTTCTCCCTTGCTGCTTATTTCTCAGTTTCCTTCCCCCCAGTTTTCCTCATATTTGTCCTCAAGTTACATCAGTTGCTGCAAATTGAGTTAAAAGTGCAAAAGTAGTTTGCACTCAACTAATTCAGCAGGAGAGAGATTACAAGTAAACTTGAGCAAAAGCAAACTGCTACAGCTGCTGGTAGCTAGTATTGTTGTTTAGCTACATGTTTATATGTGCCATGGTTTTTATATGTGAAATGTTGAAGGGTGGGTTTTATATACTGTCAATCT